TTTAAAGATAAAATCACATTAAAAATGTGTACACCATAGTCATGGTACAATAATATATCCAGAAAATATACTTGTATTCTTCAATCATGAATTATAAACTAGAGAGAAAAAAGAAAACTCCACTAAAATCCATCAAAATCACAGAATATAGGTTTTCTGAATCTAATAAAGGCACTTCTAGGCTGCAGAAATCCTCCATCACAGCGAAGAAGATTCTATTGTGCTATGAAAAAAAAAACACAGAGATTGAACAGCCATCAGCACGGCAATGTTAAAGAACTAAAGAAGCATATTGTCCACTGTGGGACCAACAGACTCTGGATTTATTTAGTTCTGTCTTTCTATTTTTTATTTTTTTGCAAAACTCTTAAGCTACAATACACACAACAATACTGCGTGTCTGTTTTACCCTATGAATGAAGATGGTCATGTTTACCTGCTCTGAAGCTGAGCTCGTCCTGCTCCTGACCTTCATAGTCATACAGCGCTTTCACCCTCACACCTGGGCTCTGCTCCTCATAGAAGGGGTTCGTGCCTCCGTTGGTGTCGGAGTTGACTGCCGTCTGGTCTTCATCTGACCACTCGGTGGAGCCGGTGTAGCCCTGGTTCTTTTCATAACTGCTGACACTTTTCAAGAAAAAGAAATCTCTTTATTAAAATCTAAATCACAGTATCGTTTATCTATGGTTGTAAAAAAAATGCTAAAATCGTCCTATTTTTACCTCCTCCGCTCCACAGCTTGAGCACCGTCAGCTGCTGGTGTGATGTTTGTCAGTGTGATTCCATCACCTTTCTTTGACTTCTCTTTCTTAGAGATGAGGGCAAGGTCTGGGTTGTAGTCCTGCCAAAAAAACAACAAAAACAACAAAAACAACGAGATTTACTTGATTCTGGTTTTCCCCACACTGGCTGATAAGAATATTCACTTTGTATCTTAGAAAAAAGGTAGGAACAAGAATCCACAAGAGTGCACTTTATGCAAGCATTATGAGGTCTTCAGGTTTAAAATTAAATTAAATTAATATTGAAATGCCAAATGTGTTTAAAACAAATAAATCACACCAATTTATGTTGACTAATTGTGAAAGACAAATATGTTTGGAGTTGCGGTGGTATTTAAGCTCAAGGTGCTCCAGTGAAACTAACACTTTTTCCCACCAACACGTACACACTGTATTAGCACATCAGTAAGTGGATAGACGGGGTAATTATTGATGCTTCTCATTCACCTTGTGTATTTATACACATGAAAAAAATTTTATCTGATATATTTTTCACAAATTAGTTATTGTGATAGAACAACTGTACCTCAAACTGGGGCCAGTTCATGTGCATGCCAGGGCCGTGGGTCAGGCTGAACCACTTCAGATCTTCCTGCGGGCTGGCTGATGTGATGGTGCGTTCAAGTTCTGCATATACTGTTGAATAACTGTCAAAGAAAAACAAACATTTTGTGTAAGAACAAGGTTGCGAGGTCATGACGGCAACTTCAATATGCTGCAGACCTCTGGTTCTCTGCCAGGTTCAGATGGTGTTTGACGTCCAGCAGCACCTCCCTCAGGAAGCTCAGCCTCTTATCCTCAAAGTGCTGACACTGGGCGAACACCTGCTTCATGTTCTCCACGTACTGTGGGGTGCAGTTGCTCAGCTCATCCAGAGCCTTCTCATACTTCTCCTTTGTCTGAGTGGTGACAGAAGACACAAAAATCTCCTGTCCAATAAATGTTGTCTTGACAAGTTCACAGTGACTCACCCTGTCCACACCAACATCATTCATTTTATTTTTGTACTTAAATGTGCCTTAAGGAAGAACCAAGGTCGAGGCAGTCCGCCCAGTTCAAAGTTCACTTACTGCAGGTTCAATAACACTTGGTAGATAAGAGAGAAGGTGTGGACGTACAGTACGTCAGTGAACAATACTACTACACCTCTGCCAGAACTGCTGCCCTTTGTGACGCTGCAGACACGCCTACTGTCCTCCATGTTTGTTAAATCTTTCCTGTGGTTTTCTCACCTTCTGGGAGTCCTGTTTGCACTTGTCCAGTTTCTCGTGCAGCTTCTTCTGCTGGTCAGCTGTCACAGAGGCGTCTCCTTTACTGTTGGCTTCTCTGGTGGACGCCACCTTCTCCTCTTTGCAGGCCAGGTGGTACAACTTTTTGGCAGCCTCGACCTGCGCGAGACAGATTGTATGGATGCCTTTACAGAACAAGTTATTTGTCTAAAATATATGTAACGTGATATCTGTTGTATCTGTCATTTATTTATTTTATGATACAAAATACCACAGATTTGTGTAAAAATTCAAATGCACTATAATAGTAACATATAATCAATAATCAAATAAGTTTGATATTTTGAGGCATGTGAAAGTTAATGGGTGCAGTTCTACTGCTAGCCAATAGGGGCAGACTCTGGCTTCCACAAACTCTGCTGCAAGAAAAATCAGCAAATGTTCTAATAAAATACTCAGAATATATATATTTAAATATACAGTGGAACGTCAGTTGTTGAACGCCTCCCTCTTCGAACAATTGGGTTCACGGAAAAAATTTTAACCAAAAATTGCCCCGGTTGTTTTAACATAAATTGGTTGCCGAACAAGCCAACGATATCAGGTGGGCTGTGCCATTTTATTTTTTTATCCCATGGGTATAAAAGTCGATTTGTACCATCATTAAGAACAAGGAAGCAATAAAATAAGCTTAGGTTGCCAACGGAGTGACTGTGATCACCAAGCAAAGATCTCAGCCCTTCTGGTCCGCAGAAATAAAAGTGAACACCGTAGATTTAAAAAGGCAAAACGTCTTTTACCTCTTTTAATTTTTTAGCCCAGGGTTTCTGGGCCTTCCTGAAGCCCTCGTCTGCTTCTTTGGTTTCTTTGAATCCTCCCATCATCTGCTTGTGGTAAGAGTCTTTCTGCCAGTTCTTCAACTTTTCAAAGTCTTCGTTGATCAGGTTACCTTTCACCTCCTGGTGAAGCTCGCTCACCTTCTCCGCCTCAATCATCAGTGCCACCCAGGCTCGCTCGAGCGTGCCATACTGAGGTCCTGGAAGATGAGTTAAAAAGATGTGAAAGAACATAAAGCATAAACACCACTACAGCCTCCTCCACCAGCAGGGCTAACCTTTATCCACCAGCTGCCTCCACCTCTTGGACCAGTCCGTCAGCTGCTGGGCGTAGGATTTTTCAAGTTTGGCACGCTCCTGGAGGCAGTTCATCAGGTCAGTGCAGAGCCGGTGACCATCGTCAATCCGCTTCACAGTACGCTTGTAGTTCCCAACCTTAGAGGACAACAAGAAGTTAATATTTACGATCTATAATCTTTTTAACAAGATTTTTAATTTCTTGTAGCTTGAAAAAAATGTTGTTTATATATGTTTATAATTATGTTGTATACAATATATCCTACATTTGACAGGTTGTATTTTAGGAGGGAAACTGCAGTGCAGGCAATAACTGTTTCCAAAAGCAACTCTTTTCTCAGCTTTGCCAGTGATTCACTGCTTAACGGGGTAGGGTAATTCATAGATGCAGAGGGGGGGGGGGGGGGGGGGGGGGGGCACAGTGGCCTCACCTGAACATAACCATCTTTGAACCTTTGCTACACACTGTGGTGAGTGATGGATGAAATCTCAAAAATGCACTCGGTAATAGCAGTTGTATTATACACACACACAGGAGTTATGTTGAGTCAGCGACCAGCGGGCATCACTGCAGCGGCTTCACTGTCACAGACAGATGGTGATGTAGAGAATAAGTGCTGGAGGCAGAGACACCGCGTCTGAGGGGAAACTAACTGATGTATGAAGTGATGATCCATGACTGAATATACCTCTGCCTGATTGGTCGCTGACATAAATATGCAGGTACTCGTATGTACTACTCATCTATGATGAAGGAAGTACTGAGAACTTGTTGCTTAAATGACAAACCAAGTGTCTTTACATTTACATTTCCGCATTTAGCAGACCCTTTTATCCAAAGCGACCTACAAGAGGAGGAATAACAATCAGTCTACGTAGAGGAACTCTTGAAAGGAGGCTGCTGTTCAGTACAGTGGGACTTCTTAACTAGGGTGGAGACAAGTGTAGAAGGAGACGGGAAGTACTGGAGAGTGCTGCAGCAGCAGCTTCTCTCTGAATAGCTGGGTCTTCAAGAGCTTTTTGATAATAGACAGGGACACCTCTGTTCTGGTGGAGCTCAGTAGCTCCATCCACGAGAAGAGCCTGGATTGTCTTGTATGAGGGGTTGGTACTGCCAGAGGACGTTCCCCAGATGAGCTGAGTGGTCGTGGGGTAACATAAGCCTTTATCAGGGTGCTTCAGTAGATTGGAGCAGACACATTAAGTACCTTGTAGGCTAGGCCAGTTAAGAGAAGCCATATGAGCAAATGATTTTGGTGTGTGCTCAAGCCAGGACACTTTCAGATTCAAACAAGGAGTGTGCACTGTCAGTAATGCACGTATCTGAGAGTGTGGATTATAGAACAAGGTGAATGACTGTGTCAAATGCTGCTGATAAGTCGAGGGAAATAACAAATATAAAGCAGTGTTTCCTAAACTTTTTTCTGGGGACCCATATTTTAAAAGTCACAAACCTTCGAGACCCAAGTCAATAGACATTATTTGTAAACCCTGGAAAACATGATGCGAGATGTTTATCTGTGCTTGCGGCCCTAGTCTACAGTACAGTCTGCCTCTTAGAAGGATTTTCCTAATGTGGTTATTTGCAAGGATGTTAATTCTTTTATTTTATTGTTTTTACATTTGTCGCAACATTTAGGTCAGGTAATTATTATACATTATTATGTGTTTATTGCGATTTTCCAGAGCTAAATATACCACCTTGTTCTACGGATAATGATAAGGCCAATAAAGACACTATGAGATAAATGATGATGTCTGTAGTGTTTTAATAAATTCCCAACTTGAGCTTTCAAACAGAGAATGCCGCAAACAGCTGACGACACTTCATTTGACACAAGCTGGTAAACAAATACTCGAGCAAATCTACAGTCAATAAGGTCCCACCTTTTCCAACACAGGACTTTTGGACTTGATCTCAGAACACATCATGACTTGAGATTAGCCTCAAGTCAAACTGAACAACCTTGGACAACAACCAGGAATTGATGCAACAGACATGAGAAACAACGTGACATGAAAGAAACACCTCACTGAGGTGACATCAAAGTCACAGGAACAGCGTCACCTAGAGGTGAAAAATGTGACAGTTTCTTCATCTCCCATGTGTAACCATCTTTAGATTTAAGGCGGGCCATATAATATAATATATAGAGATAAAATATATCTCAATATTGTTTGGTCTAATAAATATTTCTATTTCTATTCCAAATTACATATAGATTTCATTTTAAAGAAATTAATGGAATGAAAATACACATAAATTCATGTTTAAACAAAGTGTTTCCTGTTTTGTACAAACATTTCTTGTTTTTCAAATATAACCCAAACTACCTGAAGAGTATGACTATTTAATATAGTCATTCCACCTACTGTACTACATTAAGGAGAACCGAAGTGGAGAGAGAATTTGCAGTAAGGAAAACAGGTCCAACTGTTGTAACAACCAAAAAAAAAAATTAAAAGTAAAACAAAAAGCCGTTCTCACGTCACTCTCACCACGTCAGATGAAGTGAGCTACATGAGAGTTCATCACTCTGCAGTGTCAGCTCCCAGGACGCTCTAATCTGTCAGAAACTGCTGCCTCACCTCCCAGAAACTGTCCGTGCTGGTCTCTTCCTGGCAGGTCGTCTCCTCGTAGGCTCCAGACATGGTCCTGGTTGTAGAAGAAGGGCTTCAGGCTGTTGTGGTCTGCAGCAGGGTTACGCTTCTCATGCACTGTAGGATGAGATGAAGATGAGATGAGTAAACACAGCTGCTGCAAACTACTATTATATACTGTTTATATAACTCTATCCAGAGAAAAGAATACTTTTGTTAAAAATTCAGAGGAAAAGATGCAAAAACCATACAAAAAATAAAACAAGTCTTTAATGGTAACTGCTGTATTTTCTTGACTATAAGTCGCACTTTTCTTCCTGCGAAACAAAGTCTGCACGGACTTGTGTATTAAAAATACACTTATATCATCTATGGCCACAAGAGGGCATACCTAATGAAAAGGGAGAAAATTGAAAACATCTACCTGTCAGCCTGCCAGTATTATTCACCAGTATCTGGCTGATTATGGATAATGAAACAGACAGGTCCATGAGCACAGGCTCAGGAGAACAAGACGTCTCAGTTGAAAGGTTTTTAATAAATTGAATGATGCAAGCAGGGGTGCAGAACCAAAGGTAGAATATTCTGTAACTGTCAACACGTTCACTGACGTCAGGTCAGAACCAGGATTTGGAAAAGTAATAAAAACAACAAAAGACTGAATAAAAAAAAAAAAGACAGACATGGCCTTGACTTGATGACATACTCCCAACACTTTTATTATTTGAAAATGTATTCTTCTATAAAAATAATGACCTGACCTTAAGTCTAGCAACAGAACATGAAAATCCAAACTCTAAATATTTACTTCCTCCGTAGTTTGCTTGCAAACTTTTCTTTCTTTTGCATCCCATAAAGTCTTCTGGCGCCCTCCAGGGGTGGTGCGCCTCACACCTTGATGTAGACTAAAATTTCCCACTGCACAACAAGTTTATTACAGTATGTATTTCCTAATGCTTATTGTTGCATATATGATGTATGTGGTCAAGACTATGAATGTGGAAGTTTTTGTTTGTTTCTGTTTTTGAATGAAGACGTCAAGTGAGAGACAGAGAAGAGGAGAGTAGGAGCAGTGATGTGTTTTGATAGGAGCTCTGGGGGAAGGGAAGAAACCATCACCGTATTTGGGTCAAGCATGAACTGGTGGACGGAGCAACGTGAATAAAAAAAAAGAAAGATGAATAAATAACTTAGGCAACTAAACAGAAATGAAGAAAAGCAAACTCAAAAACCTGTTACAGAAACAGTAGGAGATTCAGACGACTAATTTAACAGCTTTGGTCCAAGCACAGAGTGGAGAGGTGGGTGTTTATCATGCTTGGTTAATCCATTAGCAGACCACAGAGAGGGAGCTTTTGTCTAGGATAGACTTTCACTGTCACGGCAGTTGGACAAGTATAAAAGAATTTAATTTTTTAGTTGAATGATTTTAATGTAGGCAGGATAATGGAATTTTAGGGAGAAGAGATCAAAACTGAAATTCCCAGATCTAATGATAAAATTTTAAAATATAGATCTCTGATATGTATTTATATGTTTAACATTTAATTTCCCCATTTCAAATTATGAATCAAATAAAAAAAAAATACTGGTTTCTTTTTCTTTTTCAAAGAAGCCCAACACATAAGACTGACACACTTTTGTGAATAGTTGTCAGTATGTTTTTGGATTTTGGATTTCCAATTAACTATATATTCATCGAGAAGATCCGTTAAGGTATCACTCCAGAACAAAACACCCAGAGTGAGGAGACACGTGACCGTCAGCTCGTCCTCGAGCAGCACCCTGGTGGTAAGTGTTCTTGCAGGAAGAGACTGTGTGTGCTGTTCACGGCAGAGGAGGGATTATCCTGTGGTGTTATAGTTGAAAGACTTGGACTGAGTGGCAGGTCAGGGAGACAGAGGAGGATGAAGGGTATTAAAGGAAGAGAGGAGCATCAAGAGCAGCTGGGGATGTTTACTGACAAAAAACTTTTGTTTAGTCAGTGAGAAAATCTTAAGAGTTTAATGGAGACGTTTAACTGGTGATGTCAATTTATATGCCGATGACTGTGTCGTGTCATGTGGACTCACAAGACAGCAGACCTGTCTCCCTCTGAGACATATGGAATTTAGATACAAAAGTTAGTCTGTGGCTTCTGGACAGTGGCACGTGTCGTGTGTGTCATGTCCTGCTGACTAGTACGGTTTGATCTTACTATCACGTATCATTTTCAAGTCACTTTTGGGTCAGTTGGTGAATAGGAGTGTGTTGCCTTATAACTGTAGGGCAAGAGGGTCCATTTAAGGCAGGCAAAAATAAACATGCAAGTATGTTCAAGTTTGTTGCCTTACAACTGTGGGGTCAGATGTTCAAATCCAGGCTCCTCTAGTGCAGGGTTCCCCAACCACTAGACACCAGTAATGGGCAGTGAATAATTTGGTATTTGGCAGTGGAATTCCCAAAAAACATTGTTGACGTGGGTCAGAAATTTGATTCCAGACTCCTCTAATTTACATCTCCCCAACCACCACGCCCCAGCCTTGCATCAGGGGTTTATTTAATGTTTTGTGTAGGTATTTGTTACGGGTCTGCAGAAATAACTATATCCATTTGATAAAAGAAAAGCTATTACTTTCCTAAACTTAAAAAGTTTAGTTTCACACACAGTTTTCCTGTATGATTTCACTGTAAGAGATATTTCTCAGTAAGTAGAGGACGTTAAGCATTGTACTGAGTTTTATTTTTATGCATTTTAATTTGTTTTTATGTCAGGTTGTATCGTTTTATTTTGTCCTGTGACCAGACAACTAAACTAAAAGGTTGGGATAGTGTACCTGATTCTGGGAAGGACACATGACCCTTTAAATTGCCATCAGTGGCTCTTCCAGAAACTTGAGAATGAAAACATAAAACGTGTCATAGAAGGAGTTCCAGTTTCACTGTAACATCATCTAAATCTTCTACTGTCCATCAATGATCTGAGCCTCAGGCTACAGCTGGTTGGATAACCTGTCGAGTCTCAACCTTTGGTCTAGGTTCTCAAAGGCTGACAAATGCTGTCCTAAATTTTAAAAAAGAATCTAAGTTCAATGAAACTCATTTTAAACCAGCCTGTATTGTCACAATACAATTCCAGAAATGTCTTTGGTACATTCATCACTAGATTCCTCCAGGAGGCCATAGCAAAAGATGTGATTAGAGATTACACCACATAAAACCAAGCCCATAAAGGTCCATGTGAGTCACTTATGAACTTGGTTCATAAATAGCACCAGAGACCAGAGATCAGGTGTGTGTTGTTGATTCAGCAGCTGTAAAGTGATTAATCATTAGACAGCTTGTCATAAAGTCGTGGTAAAAAGAAGTTACAGAGACCCAGAAGCTGAGCCACAGTCGGACACTTCCAGTGAAGTTTAAGTCTTTTTAGGGTCTCTGACAGATGCTGCTCTAACTCGGGGATGTGCGATGTGCCTTTCCTAACCTTTAGGACAAACTGTGTCAATGCTGCTGACCTCATCAGATTCATGTCCTATTTATAGAACGCCACAGTCATCAATAATGCAAACTGCTGTGTAAAGTAAAGGGATAAAATGACCATCCTGACTTACATGGAGAAACCCAGCAGGAGTGATGTCATTTCATGTCATTTTCAGGAATGCATTCAAACACTTAGGATGAATGAAAGAATGAATGGATGTAACTAAAAAATAAGGCAATCAAAAATGGCAAAAACTTAAATAAATATTCCTCAATTTTTTTCTGATGTTTTTGTGTCCCAAATTTGCATTGTAGAAAGTGTAGATGCTAATCTGGAAACGACCCCTACTGATCCTGAAGCAAGCTCCTCCCCCCCGATTTGACAGCACAAGTCCAACTGTTCAGAGATAAGTCCCTGAAGACCACTACTGTTACCTTTCAATATTCCTGTGACATCAGTAGTACAAGAACAGGACTCAGTCAGACCTACTTATGCATACAAAGGTAGAACATTAGCATCAGCTTTCACGCAATCAAATCAATGCCCAATCCATCAGCGATTACTAAGGTTGACTGGCAACACAGTGATCTACAGGGCCATGAAGACAAAAAAGTATTTCATTTTAATTAACTTTAAATTAATTCACTTTTAAACTTCTAAAATTTGAACTGTACCACTCATTGAAAACACCTGTATTCAGAAATGGTATGTTATACGGATAACAGATTCCAGCTCTTTGGGAACCTGGTCCATCTCATGCCGGAAATGTCATTCCAACTAACTACCTGAAAGCTTTGAGGAAAATTGACACCTGAGACGTGACAAATCCTGTGGGTTGGCACAACTACACCACACACACACACGCATACATGGGAGATAACTTCAATTATTAACTAGCTGTGACGAAGGGTGGAGACGCTTGGCTCTTCACAGTCACATTCACCAAGACAGAAAAGAACTCAACGCTATTAATGTCAATGTGTGTGTGTGTGTCATTTTATCAAACTCTGTTCACATCACTTTTACAAATATCACATATATT